AACAAGGACTTAAATGGACGTTCATAGCAACATTACTCATAATAACCAAAAGGTAAAACAAGCCAAGTGCCCATCAATAGATGAATGGATTAATAAAATGTAGATAATTCAATGGAATATTATTCAGCCTGTATAAGAAGGAATGGAATTCTGATACATGCTACAATGGGGAGAAGCCTCAAAAGCATGCTAAGTGAGTAAGCAGTGAAGGACCAAATACAGTGTGATTCTACCTGAATGAGGTATGCAGAATAGACAAATTCTTAGAAACAGAAAGCAGAGTGGATGTTACCAGGATCTGGAAGGAAGAGGAATGGGGATTTAGTGTTTAATGGGTACAGTTTCTGTTTGGGATGAAGAAAAAGTTCTGAACTGAATAGTAGTGATGATTACACAACCATTGCAAATGCACTTAATGCATTGAATTGTATACTTAGTAAGAATAGTGTTTCATCTTATATATATTTTACTTTAAACACACACACACACATACACACACACACACACACACACACACACACACACACACACACACACGATAAATATTATGATGAATTTTACCTTGTCATCCCAAACCAAAAAGCTGAGTTTATTCTGGGGGTTTCATGGATCCTGTTCTTACTCCAGGAAACTCTCAGGAGGGTGGTGTAGATTAGATATTCAAGGCTCCCTGTCTTGAAATGCCTCAGTTGGTTAGAGCACCATCCCATACACCTTGGTTACAGGTTTGATCTCAGGTCAGGGCACACCCAAGAAGCAACCAATGAAAGCATGAATTGGTGGAACAACAAATGGATGTTTATATCTCCCTCCCTTCCTTACTCTCTAAAACCAATTAAAAAAAGAAGAAGAAGGAATGGCTTTGTGTTCCAGAGATAGTCCATGGTCAGCAATAAGTTGGTACATGACAGACTGACTAATCCTACATCAAGCAAGAATTAGATAAATGTGTATTTTATGTCTACATGCTGGATTTGTGAAGGTGTGCAGACTTAGCCTCAGAGATGAATTAGGATATGTATGTGAAGCAAAAAGGGTAGCATGAGGTATTTCTCCTTGCTACAAATTAGCTACAAAGTTAGTTATTTTTGTATATCAGGAGTAAATCAGAATAAAAATAAAGCTGTAAACCTTTCACATTTTTGCTGCTTTAACACCGAGTCTTTAGAAGTAGTCTATAAATATACTTTATAGAGATATTCTTTCTATTAAAAATAAACTTTATTTTTTTAACTTTATTATTTAACTTTATTACAAAGAATATTTAAAATATAACATTTGATGTTCAGTTAGTATGAGATCTCCCAAGAGACATTAGTGGTGATATTAAGGCAAATAATCCAGTATATCCCTTTAATGCTTTAAAATATTCCATAGCATTTGCTTTAGGGAAGCAAAGTGTTTCTGCCAGTGTGATTTCATATTCCTTTTTGAGTTCATACTGAACTTCTTCTTAAAAAGTTTCATTTTGGCTTCTATTAAAAAGCTTAGTACGGCTGGTGTGGCTCAGTGATTGAGCATCAACCTATGAGCCAGGAAATCACCGTTTGATTCCCTATGAGGGCACATGCCTGGGTTGCAGCTCGATTACCAATAGGCAGTGCAAGAGGCAACTGATCAGTGATTCTCTCTCATTGTTGATGTTTCTCTCTCTCTCTCTCTCTCTCTCCCCCTTTTCCTTCTCTTCTGAAATAAAGAAAAAATACATTTTTAAAGAAGTTTAGGTTTGTGGATGTGTTTTCTATTTTCTAGGTTATATTTCATATTTCTGGAAAAAGGAGCATCATCATTGTAGCCATTAGATTTAAAATTGGGATTCATAGAGAGAAATTACAATATATAGTTGCTAGGAGTACTGATTCTGGAGCTGGCCCACATGGATTTTAATCCTGGCTCCACCACTTACTAGCTGTGTGACTGTGAGCAAGCCAAGTGTTTCAGTGTACTATCTATAAAATAGGACCTACAATAATATCTACCATATAGAATTGTAATGGGAACTGGATTAATATTGTAAAACAATTATAATCATAGTGGGCACATAGAAAACACTATTTCAGTATTTAATAGTGTTAAATAAGATAGTATAAGTTAGCGTAACCAGGACTTTGTGTTTTTATTTTTCATCTGTGAAATGGAGAGATCTTTAACTCAAAAGGATATGTGATGTTATTATAATGTCAATATTACCTATTACTTGGAAATTCTTCAAAATAAGGTTGGTAGAAGTTACTGTTTACTCTGATAATTATCAATGTAATCAGAATGCATTTTCAATAGAAGATAAAATAACCCTCAACTAATACATATAGTAGATCTTGATCAAACACTTTTTTTCACCTTTGTCCTAAATAGAAAGTGTACCTTTTTCATGAAAGAAGATATCAGATTAATCATTGTGACTCCACTAGCTCTTGACATAATAATTAATCCATATAAATTACCCATGTGATATTAAGAAAATAATTTGTATAATCTGTGATGTGAGAAATCAATTGTTTTATTATTTATCACCCATTTTGCAATTTTGATTTAATTTAGCTTGTTGAATATTATTTTACTGCTCTATTAACTTAATGATTTGAGCAATTATTTATAGTTTGTGATATTAGATAGTAGATTTAGGAGAAATTATTAGATAATTTATACTAAAATGAAGTTTATGAATATTATGGAGAATTCTTCCATTTTAGTCTAATGCTGTATACAGTTTATAATCTATAATAATAAAAGCATAATATGCTAATCAGACCAGACAGCCAAATGACTTTCAGGATGAAGCTGTGGCTGTGAGGGCCGAGCCCCTTCATGAATTTTGTGCATTGGGCCTTTATATTCGTCTACAAAATTCATATCACACAGCTAGGAATATAATTTTCCATTGATATACAGGTATAGTGGTTATCAACATTATTTAATATAGAATAGGTAATTTATAGTACTCTTAGCTCTCAGTTTCTTCATATATCTATGGAAGTTTTATACTGTTGCCTGAAGGTTCTAATGTCAAGTGAAGAAAATAAAATAAATGATTTGATGCTCTATCATTGTTTATTTTCTTAAGACCACTGCTAATTAAAAATCTAGGGCTACTTTTACTCTTAAAAATTCCTCATAGATGTCTTTGCATTTTTATAGCAGGTGTGGGGAAACTATTTTCTGCCAAGGGCCTTTTGGATATTTATAACATCATTTGTGGGCCAGGCACAATTATCAACTTAAAAATTAGCTGGCAAAATTTGGTCAAAAATTTAACTCACCTCTAACATTTTGGGCAGGGCCAGACCAAATGATTTTGTGGGCCTTACGTGATCCACAGGCCAGATGTCCTCCAACCCCGCTTTATAACATGTTCTCCTCGTCATTGGGACTTACACTTTTAGTAGTGATGTTGATTTGCCTTTGCTCATGTGGATTTCCTAGTTTGTGTCTCTCTAGACAGATAGATTGGGCTGGCCTAATGCTAATCAGAGTTTCTCCAGAATAAAACATATTATACAGGTGCACACTCTTATTTGTAATTCCTAATCCTAAATCTGAAAACAAACAAAAAAGTAACCTATTTATTGGCAAATCTGAACTGAATTGGCATTAAATTATTTACATTATTCCTCTGATTTATTGTGAATATTTACACATTTCATTACAGAAATATCAGTGGCTTGGTTACAGGATGCTTCCTCAAAACCCTGATGGAGATGGTATACTGGGTGGCGCAAAAGTAGCTTTAGAGTTGCATGTGAAACACAATTTATTATTGTATTATCATTTATTAATTATTGTATTATTTTCCATATGAACAACTGTAAAACTACTTTCATCACACCCTGTATATAGTGTATTGTCCTAAAATTCTGCAAAATTCATGTATTCTGAAATACATTTGGCTGCAAAGATTGAATGTGATTCGTAATGATTATTTTTGATATTCTATAATCATAAACACTTTGTGGTTAGAAATATAAGATTTATATAAAATATAATATAAGGTATGAATGTTAATCTTCAATTTTTACTTATACATTATCTAGTCATAATATATAAATTATTATTAAACTATAATCAATGGTTCCTATATTCTTAAAACAAATAATTTTTGGTATTGTGGCTAGCCAGATTCTCATATCACATTTTCTTTTTATTTTTTAATCCTCACCTGCGGATATTTTTCCATTGAATTTTAGAGAGAGGGAAAGACTGAGAGAAATATTGATGTGAGAGAAACACGTTGATAGGTTGCCTCCTGCATGAAATCTGACCAGGACTGTGGCCAGGGAGGAGCCTTTAACCAAGGCATGTGCCCTTGACCAAAATTGAACCCAGGACCTTTCAGTCCTCAGGCCAGTGCTCTATCCACTGAGCCAAACTGGTTATGATTCATATCACATGTTTTTTTTTTTTTTTGTCTTTTTTTAAAAAAAATATATTTTGTTGATTTTTCACAGAGAGGAAAAGAGAGGGATAGAGAGTTAGAAACATCGATGAGAGAGAATCATCGATCAGCTGCCTCTTGCACACCCCCTACTGGGGATGTGCCCACAACTAAGGTATATGCCCTTGACCGGAATTGAACCTGGGACCTTTCAGTCCACAGACCAACGCTCTATTCACTGAGCCAAACCGGTTTCGGCCATATCACATGTTTTTAAGAAATAGTTGACTGGTTCCACACATTATTTACAAAGATTAAGGATGAATTTCAAATTAACATGAGCCACACAAATAGTTTTCTTGCATGTGAGTGCTGGCTCTTCATGGGATGTCTTGGGATGCTAAGATCATATGTTCTTCTATCATCAGCCTTTTGGGTGAAGCTTTATGACCCTCTCCTCACTTCCCTTCTTCAGTATGAGAGAAGAAATCTTTTTATGTGGAATGCATAGTTTTTATAGTATAATTTCTCATGTAGGATATATAAATTACAAGCTACCTAACATGTCAGTGAGAGATGTTAATATTAATTTGCTTGTAAAAGTCTAATTTTTAACTGTTATTTTTAGGCATTTACTACCGAGAAGTACATTCTTCATGAGATCACCAGTCTACAACTTGAAATACAATTCACCTGGAATGACTCGCTCCAATGTTTTGTTTACATCCCGATGAGGCCATTTGTGAAGCAGAAGGGAAGATTGCCATGGGTTATGCATAATAGCAGTTCATTGCCCCCTAATGTAAACATGCAAAGAAAGCAACCATTAAGTGCTGTTTTATGTATATATGACATATATATGTGTGAAATATATGCACACATGCACTCAAATAATATATTTATTATATAAAAGAATTAGAAAACTTGGATAGAAGTCTTAACCTTTCTGGAAATGTAATAAACCATGTTAATATTGTTTACACAATATGTGAATGTCTAGAATTTGCTAGGTTTATAATTAATACCTTCCTACTAGAAATGGTATTTTTGCTGCAGAGAATATGAAACAGAACTGATCTTGAAGATCTCACTACAGTGTTAAATTATTTTCTAGATAACATGTATTTAACTTGAATAAGCTCTAGTGGTATAATACCTTATTCTCTTACATACATAGTAGCCATATAAAAATGAGGAAAAATTAGAAGCCTGGAGTTGCTTTGATGATAGGATTAAGCATAAAACGGGTTTATCATGACTATAGCACACTATAAAAATTCCAACTTGATTCTTCCACATTTTGATTCCTCTATGTGAAAATTTAGCCACTTATGATAGTGTAAATTTTCAGTAAGGATATAGTGAGACCATATTCTGATCTAAAATGGAAGACAATCCAGTGGGTTAAGAATAAACAAAACATAAACTATCTTTTATTTTCACTTTTTATCACGAGTTACATAAATGAATAGAAAATGATGATAATGACAAAAATCTTTTCAGATGATTTTTGTTATCTCATACCACTCATTTTTATTTGGGATGTATATTTCCAATGTGTATATACAGTCAAAAACATTTTTTCCTGTTCTTCAGCAGAAGAGTTGACCTTTGAAATTAATTTCAATGTTAATGTGTTACACTTATTTTATGTCTTTCAAGGTTGAGATCAAATTACATTGCAAAGTCTAACACAGTTTCACATTGCACCATAGAAAATAACCTAAAATGTTACAAATAAAGGATTCTGATTACTGGATATTATTAGTTGTGGTGTACCCTTAAGAATCAAATAAAAATAAAGTATGAAGTTTCTTCTAGTTCAAAGTTATTATGCATAAGTTTCATAGCAGCTTCCATTTCTTGCTTAGAGTTTCAAAATCAATGAGTGAGCTTTCAGTTTTCCATGAAAATATAAACACTATCATTGACATGGAGATCCTTAGAAATTGCAATATTCACCTTTTAGAAGTTTGTTTAAACTTCTCCCCAAAGTTTTATTTTTCTCACAGACACTAATTATTTACAAAATTCTTGAGTGTTTTACCTCCTTTTATTATTCTAAAAGCTAATTCCAGTAAATCAAGAAATGGCCCAAATCAGAAGGAGAACTAAGAGAGGCAAACTAGCCTGTTTTAATTCACAAGCTGGATAATTGGTAACCCCAAGTTGTAAGTTAGATCTACTTTGCTTTTAAAGCCATATTCTATGACTGGGTTAGACTAAAGTGGTGTGTTCTTGGAATTATTGCTAGCTACTTTATTGCTTATGACTACCTAACATCTATATTCCAATAGATACTTTTTCTTGCTAGATGTATCCCAAAGAAGGATATTTTTATCCTTGTTGAAAAAGAGAATAAGGATGTCAGGATGAAGGAAATCACTGTGTAACCCTGAGTGTTTATGACTCAGTTTTGTAAATTCTTAAACACGTGTTATAGGTTTTTTAGAAAAAATAATGCAAAAATAGGGATATTACAAGATCATTATAAGAATAATCACCAAGTAGGTGTTTTCAAGGAGTATTTTTAGTCATTTCTCAAATTCATGATTTGTCCATGAATGAGACACAATTTCAGGTGTCTGGTATATAATATCAACACAGTTGGCCGCTCACTTGCATTGGTTTAAATAAAAATGGCTATTTAATTTGCGAGAGCCAGTGCTTTGGAACTTTTGTCCTCAGTTGCACAGGAGTGCAATTTTTATTTAAGACATAAAAAGAACATGGAGATGTACCCTCTTCCCCTAGGAAACACACACATTTAGAATTTTTAAAACTCAGAGTAAATTTAATATATGAAACAACCCAACTAATTTATGAACAAATTCATTTTGATAGCTACTTAAGTCCTTTTTTGAGCACTAGAATTTCTTTGCCCACATTTGCCTATTATATTGATCTAGTTTGATATGATGAAGTTGTGAAAAAAGCCACATACTCAATATTTATATATACCACCTGATATGCAGTGGTCTATGATTGCTGTCCTGTTTATTCCCTTTTGAGACACTAAGAAGAGAAGATACGATAATAAGCCGTGGAAGTTTCTAGAGGACTTAGAAATGTTTTAGAGGTAAAACATATTCCATAGTGTTTATTATAATTTTTTATTAATGGGTTTAAATATATCAATATAAATGATAGTGTGGGTCTGACACTCTCTCCTAGGAGATAAAATAACTTATCTGAAAAATTCAGAAGCTACTCAATTTTACCAGGTGTTTCTAATAGGGAATTTTATTTACTTACGATGAAAGCATATTTTCCTGTTAAGAAAATACCCATGATTGTTCTGTAAATCTAGGATTGGAATGATTTTCAGGATTGTATAAAAAGCAACCTTTTTATTTTAAATAATTTATGAACAGTTTTACATTCAGATTAGTTTTCATTTGCATAATCCAGTATTGTAGATTAGTTGCCATTTGCAATCTGTTGGAGGAAATCATTATTTACCAGTAAAACAAATTTTATTTTACTAGCATTTATTTACCTTGTATGTATAAAAAATGAAGTTATAACAGAATCAAATATGCTAATGACAGCAGTAGCCTCTGATTAGGACATGGTTAAATAACACTGGTTATAAAATGCAAAGATCTATATGCATTTTTGTAGATTCAGATACTAAAAGTTTCTGTTAATTCCTCTTCCCTGAAACTAAACTGAACCAAATTCAAGCAAATAACCCCAACCTTCTGTACAGCTAGATGACAGCTAGATGACATCAATACAAATATTTCAACCTTATTCTTTTTAATTTGGAAAGTTCGTGATTGTAGCGTTTTGTTATCCAAATGGAAATTTCAGATGTTTTCATGTAAATTAATCCAAACGTTTTCATCTTTAGTCTGTTGAAGCCATTTTGTTTAAAAATTCTCTTGAAATCTAAACATACACATTACATGACATTTTAAAAAGTACCAAAATTAATAGTTGTATAAATGTTATTATTTCTAGTTTTCTATAAAGCAGGGATTCATTCAAAATATATTCTTTAAAATATAATAGATACCTTGAGAAGAATGACAAAATACTTTTTTCTGTTCTATTTTCTGCTGATTTACATTTTGAATCTTAATTTGATTATAAGGGTTAAACAATAAAGAGTGTGACCACAATTAATGTGTTTCTGTGACTCAAAAATTTGCTTTCATCTTTAAATTGAGAGATTACATTTTTTTAAATTAACTGAATTAGTTATCTACATATTTTGGACTAATATTACTTTTGAATAGATTAAAAATTTAGAAATATATTAATGATCAAAATTTTATTCCTTACACTGTCCTTCCTCCCTCCTTTATTTCTTTTTCTTCTTTTCTTAAACTTTAAGTTCTCTTTGAGGTTTTGACCTTAGTATGGATAAAGACAAGAAAAGAAAAATCCTCAGTGACAATAAAAGATAATGTGTCATTGGATATAGTTTAGTTTGCTGAGATTTTTAGGAATCAGGTTGAAGTCTCTAGGCCTAAAAAGCATTAATTGTCTGGATCCATGTGAACCAAGGTTAATAGCTATAGTCTTGAAACCAAAAATTGGTATATTGAAACTTATTTCACACTTTGAGATTGCTAGTGTGTGTGTGTTTGTGTGTGTGTGTGCGTGCGCGCTTTGTCATAAATGAGTATATGGCATATTGAAGGAAACTATTCAGATAACACATTCTGCATTAACTGGGCTGTATTATCCAAGAATTGCAAAATAAAGCTTTTATTTTCCCCACCAATTAATTTGAAAACTGTTGTAAAGTCATCATTCAATAGACCGATATTTTCTAAATTAATAAGAAAACATACCTTACAAAAGTAATCCGATAATGCTAATATTTCTCTTTCAAAGGCTAACACCGACAGTTCTTGGTTTTGAGTTGGTCAGTTCATACAGGAACTAATGTACTTTCTACACATCGAATATTCATAGCTTTGCTGAAGATTCTGGGCTTGAAGATTAACTTGAAAGCTATACATTTGAGACCATGAATCATGATTCAAATTACCCTCATATGCTTTACTACCTGTATATGAATGCAAATGCTGTCACAGGAAATATGCTTGAAATGTCTACAAAATGTGCAATTAGTATGGCCTTGCCATGCTTCAGCATGTGCTATCTGTATGGTGAACTTATTTCAATTACTCTGATATGTTACTATAATAAAAAATGTTTAACATAAGAAAGCTGTGATATGTCATCAAATGATTATTTCTGCTTTACACACACACACACACACACACACACACACACACACACACACACACACACAGTTTTTAGAAGTAAAAGATAGGCTCTGAATGAAGCATTCAGGGTGATGGAATATATTTTCACAGTAATTTTCTTCTGCTGTACAGACAGCAATAGCACTATGGGGATAGCTTTACCTGCTATTAAAGTCAGGTCAAGTAAACAAAATTGGTATCAATTCCTTACTTTGCTGGAAGGGACACATTTTTAAAATTTAGAAATGACACTTTTATATCTTCCTAGTATCATTGATTGCAAAAGTATTACTAATCTGAATAGATTTATGTCAGCATCTCAGCTATGAAGTTCATTTTGGGAGGAATTTATAATTTTAATTTGTTAAAATATCATATAAGAATCATATCCTAATCCTATTTCTATCCATACCGTTGCTCTTTAAGATGAAGAAATTTGAATACTTTTATTTTAAAGAAAGAAAGCACTTTGCATAAAAATCCTATCATGGTAGGAACTTTAAAGCATG